CTTGGTTAAACATAAGGGAACAAACGCAAAACAGCATGCCAAGTGCAAACTGAGTGCAAACAGAAATGCAGTATTAATTGTAAAAGAACCTGAACATTCTTAGTGAATATCATCAACATGTAAATGAACATGTAAAACTAATGCTTGGAAATATTCCCTGGGGTTGGCTAGTAAAGAAAATTTCTAAATTTTTCTCTTTTCTGTCTTTGTATTAATACTTTGGTTAGCCTTGACATTTATACAAAGAAAACAGTTTCCAGACTACATGAACTTACAAATGCTAAACGGTTATTCACTTGAAAACTTCAACAAAGACAGTCTACTCACATTGATAGAGGATGGACTAGCTGTCCACAATCCTTCCCACATCATCACATTCCACTTGGAATTCTTCCTAGGAAGTCATGCTGCAAAAGTTTTAAAAATTAAAATTTTGTCATTTTTGAAGTACATGTAAGCAGGGAAACAAAATAAATACTCAGGGATAGAGTAGTCTGACAATCTACAATAGAGTATTTAAATTCGATATATTTGGCACAACACAATAGTTTTCAGATACATTTACATATATTCAGACTTGTACTTACCTTTTGTTGTTTTTCTAGTTTTTCATGGCCAGTAAAGCCCTGGGTGAAAACCTCCTATGATAGCTAACCTTGTATTAACGACAGAGGAAAACCCAGGAGCAGGCTATATTATGCCTCAACCAGGCAACACAGTATTACAAGGCCAAGCTTTCCTATGATCTCAAAATCAGCAGATGTAGTTGCACATCAAAGTACTCACAAGACCTATAGGAACACAGCAGTCAGCTCCAGCTCTCTGAAGTGATTCCCATGTTGTGTCAGCCAGCACCTTGGATAAACTCATGGGTTTAGCAACTGGTTTGAACATCTTTTAGAAAGCTACATCTACACTAATTTAGACACGTACTTACCTTTTGTTGTTTAACAATTTTTTTTTCCATGCCCAGTGAGGGCATGGGGTCAAACCCTCTAGAAAAACTACTGCTCGCAATGGAGAAAAACCCAGGGGCAGGCTATAATAATTATGCCCCACCCAAGCAACACATCCTTTAAAGGTCAAGCTTTCCTTCAATCTCAAAATCCATAGATGTAGTTACAGATCAAAGTACTCAAAGGAACACAGCAGTTTGCTCCAGCTCTCTGAAGTGATTCCCATGTTGTGTTAGTCAGCACCTCAGATAACCTCATGGGTGCAGCTGTTGGTTTGAACATGGCCTTTTTCAAGCAGCCATGACCTCAGTAACCCCACAAGTCTGACTGGTGCTCCAAGAAACGAAACATGATGTGTTCTAAGTTTGCATGTAAATAAACAAAGATACATCTAATTATATTTAGACCTGTACCGACCTTTTCTTGTGTTACTAGTTTTTCATGGCCAGTACTGAAACCCATGGGTTAAAAACTCCTACAATAACCTGTTGTCGCAACAGAAGAAAACCCAGCAGCCGGTTATGATATGCATCAACCAAGCAACATGCCATTTAAAGGTCAAGTTTTCCTTTGATTGCAAAATCCAGGACTAGTATTGCTAAGATGTAGTCGCACATCAAAGTACTCACAAGACCCAGTATAGGAACACAGCAGTCTGCAGCACCTCAGATAGCTTCATGGTTGCAATGGCTTGTTTGAACATTGTTTTTGCAAGCCATTATCACCTTAGATAACTTCACAGCTTTGCTCTTTAATTAGTATTAGCATATGGTCCTCATTTCCAATTTCATTCTCAATTACTACTGTAATTGTTAACTCACTCTACTGTCTTATGTCAACCATGTTTTGCTATTTAATTTCTACATTATGTGTTACATATAATATTTTGGTTTAATTTTGTTTATCCACTCAAATTTCTTTAATTTCTTTAAATTTATTCTCTGTTTTAACTAAACCACATGTATATAATACTGTTGAAGTAATAGTATTTTTCAAGGCCAGTAAATACATGGGGAAAAAACCTCCCATGGTAATATAACTACTGCTTGCAATGGGGTCTCAGTTTTCATGAAACCCATTGCTATTATGGCGTGGAGTCTTAAAAAAGGATCATTGCCTTCTAGTCCAAATATCATTTAGATGTTAAGCTAATATCTTATCTGTAATTACGTAAGTGCTTCATATTCTAGTTTAAAAAATTGGAAATGAGAAATAATCCATTCTGTTAAATATCTATTTACCTTTAGGTAGTTTGGTGTTTCTATTAATTATTACCAGCAAGCGCCAATATCTAAATAAAAAGAAAGAAATTGTGAGGTTTTAAGTAAGATTCATTATCATGCAGTGCTAATATTACAGTGGAACCCTGTTAATACGACCACCTTCGGCCATGGAAAATTGGTCGTATTAACGGGGTGGTCATATTAAAGGGGCTCTTTAAATGAGAAAATGACTGACTGAGCTTTTTTTTTGGCCAGAATAAAGTGGCTGTAATAACAAGGTGGTCATATTAATGGGTGGTCATAAGATGAAGTTCCACTGCATATTATAGTTCCCTGGAGAGGGTTCCAAAGTCAATTTAAACTGCACGGCATTACAAACTGGTCAAATACTTAATTAGGTGTACATGTATTTTGCAATAAGCCTTCTTTTTGTGGCTGAAATTTGGTAGCTCATATCAAATTTAAACTTGCTCAAAATTATACATGTACATGCAGTTGTTGAGAGTTTTCTTTCATTTGACCCGTAGCCTGCAGAACAGGTGGATTAACCGGGCAGCGAGCGAAACGCGATACACGAGTGCGGAGTGCGACCATGAGTGCGAGAGGAAAAAAATCCGACTGTAGTCACACCATTGTTTATGCTCTACCTCCCCTTTGAAATGATTGGCATGAAAGAATGAGAATTTATTGGTGCGAAAAAATGTCTCACGTAACCAACTTACACATGGAAAACGTAGGTGTTTTTTGATTTTTATGACGTCAACATGAGCACAAAAAACAAAACTGACAGTGAGTTTTCTCGCGTTTCCTTAGGTGAATATTTTTTTAAAATTAGGCTCAGTTGTAACCACATACAATTCCTATAAAATACCCTATATTTGTGAAAATCTGTGAGAGTTAATCTAATATATTTAGAAGAAATGACAAATTACAGAGGATTTGAACAACCGTCTAAACAACCGTCTAAACAACCTTAACTTTTCACCAATTCAAAATGTCAGGCAATATCATTTCCATGATGTGGCAAAGTATGAAAATATGAAAAAATTTCAACAAAGGAAAGTATAAATATTAAGGAGTTTAGGCCGAAATGAGAAATACATCTGCCTGTCATTACATGAGATGTTGCTATGGTAATGGCCTTGATCCAAAAATTGACAACAAAAAAGTAAGCCTTATTTTAACAGTACCAATAATGGCAATTATCATATGACCCATACGGCCCCGCATGCAATTTCCTTGGAAAACCATAAGAAAAAAGGTCCCTTATGAGGGCCGTACGCGTCGAAGTGGTAGGGCCAGAAAAAACACATATGGCCCTGCTAGAAATGTGTACGGCCCTACTAGAAACTCGATGCGGGTTAATGATAAAACAATTTGGTCACTGCAAAATTTTGTTCTCCTCAAAATGAGTGATGAAAGTGAACATTCTGAGAACAAATTTTATTATCCAGGCGAACTGTCCGATGCAGAACTACTTCAGTCACCAACTCACTCCGAATACACAGAGAGCAAGTCAACACTTCTCACAACTGAAGAAGTTCACAACTTTCTCAGAAGCCAACAACAAGCACACAGGCGGTCAAGAAAACAACTTTTCTGTATGAGCTGTCCGATAATTAACCTTCAGAATAAGCAAACAGTCTTGAGGCGAAACTTCTTTCAGTGGAAAGCATCAAGGATTCATTGTGGGTCAAAAGCAAGAAACTCGGCAAGTCGCGAAGAAAACAAAGTACAATATAAATGTTTTCTTCGAGTTTCCAGAGTTGTGAGAAGCGAAATCACAAACATACCTTTGTGTACAGTAGGATAAATTGCTCCGCAGTTTCTACATCAGTGTTGTTTGAAGAGACAAAACTGAGTCCAAACACAAGTTCATTACCGTACAGTTCATCCAGATAATAAAACTTGCTTGTGTTTAATAGTGTAATTTCCACTACACAGCAAAGCCAGCAAACCTAGACACTGTTTGCGGGAGCCAACACTGGTGTCATTAATATTCAGTTGCTGGTTCTCCCTTGTTCAAGAGAATCCAAGAGGTCGACAAATCGCTTGAAATGACGCCAACATTTTCTCGAGTCCTTGGACAAAGAAGATTTGTGAACAATTTCAGTGAAGCATGAAGCGAACTTTTGTCACTTGCTAAGGTTTCGATGGTTTTGACATATTTTTGACAGCTTTATGTCAACTTTCTATTGATTTTTTAAACAGGTTCGCCAATCCTGTTAGCATGAATTGTAGTTGAGGACTTACATTGAAGAACAAAAATTAAAAAACGAGTCATGTTTTTCGATAAATTGTGTGTTTCTTGTTTGGACGCGAAAAAATAAATGACAAGTTTTTATCGTAGAATCTTAACTGTAGTTGTTCCGCGTGTGGCCCGTCTGATGTTATGTAATCATGTCCTTTTTAGGTTCAAACAGAAATTATTTTCAAAATTTTCAGGTCATATGATTAAATGCTTAATGACTGAGTTAGGTGGGATTGAACGGGAAAATATTTGGCTCGAGGTCGGGAGATACAGACCTCGCACCAAATATTTTCTCGTCTGGCCCTCCCACTCAGTCAATAAGTACATAATCTCTACAGGGAAAACATTAAGGGAAATTAGGTTTCTTTTTCTAACTCGTGCTCTACAGGAAGTCTACGTCGAAGTTCCAAATTGACAGGTAAATCATAAATTTAAATACCTCTGTAAACAAGCAGTTACATCTGTAAGCTTGGGGGGGGGGGGG